TTCTTCAGTGCAACTTGGTCCACTTCAGTGACCACCATAAAAGTTAGACAACAGAACTCTGACATTAGAAGTAATACTTAATTTCTTAATATTCTCACTTACTACAAAGTGATAATACTCTCACTTACACTGCCAGTCTACGCAGTAGATCATTTGCTAACAAATGTCCCGCTTAGCTACTGTAGCTATCAAGCTTTCTGTTCTTGCACGACACATGCTGTTTATAGTGATAACAGTGGTAGATTTATCGAATGGAAAATGTATTATTTTTAAATAGTCTGTCCATAAAGAAAGCAGGCTAAGCATTTCTAGCTGGCATTAATGTTGCCAGCTGAAATGACATCTCCTGCTCATAGACTTGTTTAGTTATAGTTAGCTAGCTAATCAAGCTATCATTAGCTCCATAAGTTGGATAAAAAGTCTATGGCTTCTATGGAATCTTTTAAAGTTTCCAGCTAACACAATTAAAAATGAGAATCTTGTAAAAGATTATTAAATATGAACATCATGGCTATATGATATTGTGCTGAGCAACTGAGGTTAAAGCTACATGTTAGTTGGCCTATCCTTACTAAATGATAATCGATGTAGCCAGAAAACATGGACATACAGAAGCAACACAGGTGGTCTGATAACGGATGTGTTGTGCAGGACAGAGCTTCTAACATCACCTTCAACTCAACTTCAACAAAAAGAAAAACACAGTTTTTACCCTTTACACTTTTGCTCTTGTGTTTTTAGTTTTGTAAAATCTAAAATAAAGACACCACCCTCCAATCTCTTTAAATGCCAAGTATTTCTATTATTACAGCCTGATGCTCACCCCCTCATCATGTGGAAAAATTCAAAGCTTAACAGGCCAGCTGTGCCATGTTATGGTTGCTAAGCTGTGATCGGACAATCACTGTTAGTGGAGCGATTTAGCATATGGTCAAAAGCTAGCAGCTACAGGCAATGCTGTTAGTGTAGGTCCCATCAAAACACACAAAGACATTTCAAACAGTTTATATAGTTTTAATGAGTCCCAGAATAAAGTCAATAAAAGAAGTAAAAAGAAGTTCTTACATTTGCATTTACTGAGGTTGACTAGATCTGTCAGCAAAATATGTGCAAAGCTTCTGGGCAGATTTTCAGGTAATTTGGTGGACTAATCAAACTTGGGCCCAGGAATGAATGGACATATTTAGCTGGTGACCTTGATTCGGTATTTCCACCTCTGGATGATTATTATTTTTCAGCCATAGCTTCAACAACAGTTAACACCATATAGCCCTAATCCAAAATGCTAAAAGTATGTTGAATCTATTTAATTGTAATTCTGATATTCTGATGTGTAAGTCTTATTTATTATAGGACAAGTTTTCTGCCTTAGTGCACAGTGCTATTCAAGCCTCAGGGAGAACAGTGTATACACACCGCATCTACAAGTAAAGCTAAGCTATATAGCTTTAATAAAACTGTCCATCACAGTGGCCCCTTTACAGCTCCCACCATGCATCTGCAACCACACTGATGCCTCTGTGTAAATAATTGAATGTTGGATCTGTACCTTTACAGTAGGAAGTACATGTAAGGTTTCAATTTACACTCAACAGGAAGCATCATCAATACTCACCCCCATTCATTCAGTGAATTAAGTGATGTGATTCACCCGAGGAAACAGCGAGTAAACTGGCAGATTTATTCTTACAGCATGCCTTCATGATGTTCAGGCACCTTGAGAACAATGTTAACATGATGTAGTGACCCCGCCCTCTCTCTCTCTCCCTCGCTCTCTCTCTCCAGCTGTATCCAAGGATCAAACCCAGACAACGCTCACTGGCGTAAAGCCCAGATTGGGAGCCACGTGCACGCTCTCAGAGGGCGCATGCACACAGAGAAGAAGAGGATGAAGGCAGACAAATTGACTGAGAAGGAAAGAAAAAAAGATGGAGGTAGTCAGGAGACTGAGAGAGGAAAGAAAGAGACAAAGATGGAGCTCAAAGTTTTGATGAACATTTTTTTCTTGGTTTGTTTGGATGTAACGCTGGAACCACAGAGCCATGTTATGGTAGAATCATAATATATTTTCACTGAGTTGCTGCAGAGTAAAAGAAAATTGCCTGAATCTTATTTTGAGCAAAAGAAGCTTGACAACTTCACTAAAGTTCAGCCGCATGATGGACGCTGAATAGAAAAAAAATCACCAAAAATTCCTTATCTTTTGGATGCAGCTTCAAGATCCACTTAAGTTCACTTAGCTGAAAACATGAGACCATGATCTTGGAATTATAAGACTTCATCTGACATTATCCAAATAATCTCGATCTTTGACTGTCACTATTTTTGTATGGTGTTAATTAAAAAAAAAAACAGTTGGATCTTCATAAAACCAAGCTCATCAACTGCATAGTGAAAAGATGTCCTTTTTCTCAAAGGCAGTGAACGTAGTGTAGTGTCTGAGAACACTTTCACACTGTGCAGTGTGAAGATTTTAAATGCAGTAAATTTACAGGTTTGACCAGGTGAAAGTATGTGTGAGATGTGAAATGTGAAAGTGAGGTAGGATAGAGTAAAATGAGAGGAGAGAACTGATGAATGTGTGTCAAAGAAAGTCAGGTTTTGTCAGCACTGTGGCTCCTGATGGAGCAGTTATTAGCAATGCTAGTCAGAATAGATGTTGGAAATGCAGCCGTGAGACTAAATCCAGCAAACATTTCACGCATGGTAGCTGAGAGCCACATCAACCAATGCCAGATATCCACAATAGAATATTATGGCATGGTAAAAAAAAAAAAAAAAAGGTTTGAACAGATATCAGAAGAATATTTTGGTTCTGATTTCACAAACTGATATAAGAAGCATCTGTGAACCATTATGGATGTCTCAACCTTTTAGTATTTTGCATTTATCTTGACTCAGTGCTGGTGCATGCTGTCATATCAACATCTGTTCAACTGCAAAATGGTTGCTGATGGTAAAACCAGAGAAAGGAAGGAAAACTGAATGGGTATGGGATGTGTTTTTGAAATACAAATGTAGTTGTAAAACCAAAGTATGTAAAAAAAAATTGGCTTAAAGGTGAGGGACAAGGATAAGGAATTGAATGGACAATAATTTTTATTTATATCGGATTTCCACACAAAACTTAGTCCAGGCTAGAGCCTCATTCACACTGGTCCTCATCCTGGTGTAGTACTGGTACCAGGCTCTGCAACTAACAATCAGATAAAGCAGTGTTTCCCATCTGCCAACAGCTCAGTGTTTAAGGATTCAATATTTGTCAGTCCACTGTTAAATTACCACATAAAGCTCCAGTGTTTATTTTGACAACAATGTCTTAAAAATCAAGTCAATTTTTTTAATTGTAAACCCGGTCTCATCTCATATATATATACATAGATATATAGATATATCTATATATGTATACACACTCACACTTTATCCCTGGGCTAACTGGCTTGGTATTCAAATGGAGCTAAATTAGCTCAGAGTGAATGAAGAAGAAAATGTGAAAACAACTTGACTTTTTCTCAAGTGTCATCTCTCCTTTTATTTTATTTTTTTCACATTTACATATTTCAATAGTTGTATTAAATGTATTATTACTCAGATTTTCTTTTGTTTTATTTAAAACAAAATATTGTTTTTCTATTATTATTAATATTATAATTATTATTATCATTATTATTATTAGGAAACACTGCTCTAGTTTCTTTCTGTCAGTGCTGGTGCCACTCACTGCTGCCACCCAGTGTACGGGAAGGTTTTGACAAAAAAATAAAGTGTCATTTCCTTTAACACATGCTGTGTAAAATATGAAGCAATAAATTGAGTGATGTTTGACGTGAGAATGGCACATTGTTCTGATGAGTGTTTACCATTACTTTGTGTATATGCAACCTAAAACTATACAGCTTATGTACAATAATAATAAAGAAACCATAATCCCTACGGAAAATCAAAGCTATGATTGTGACTGAATTACTCAGGGTTCATATGTGTGGTGATTAGACCTTTGTAAACACACACACACACACACGCACACACACACACATTTTCAAGCCTTGGCAATAAACTGCGGACTTTAGAAGGGAATTAGTTCATTCACGTCTTTGCACCGACAGCAGGCTCCTCTCACAGGTAAGTATATTTCCATTCAAATTCACCAAATTGCTGTTATGTACAGTTTGTGTAGAACAAAGTATTTCCTCCAGTACAATATGTTGAAACTGGTACAATGTAATTTGAAATACAGATATCTGCCACGTAACCACATTTAACAAATATTACCAGGGAAAAAACAGCCAAGATCAACAGTGCACACAGATGTCAAGGTTTCTGCTCTTATTGTCCACTCCTCTCTTTTACTTCCTGAGTCAGTACAAAATAATACTTAATGATATTTGATGGAACGAAAACAAAAACATGACAGGTCAAAATGCCTATTACAGGTTTATGTTGTTGAATTGTGTGTTTCAGAGTGGCCAGCTGCATATGTCTGAAACTGTAATGTGATTTAAAATATGGCTTATAATAATAATAATGATAATAACAATGATTATGTAGTGTTTTCATTGTTAAACATTTAAAGTAAAGTTGAAAATATATATATTCTGGAGCAGTTGTATAAAGTATACCAATACTATAGAGTAGAAATTCTCTGTATTTGACTATTTCACTAGAATGTATAGTGACAAATATATAGAATGGCCCATTTCAGAATAAATGAATATTATATTGTTAGATTTTATTATTGTTGAATTAATGTGTGCATCAGTTTAATGTTGCAGTTGGTAAAGGTGGGGCTAATTTTGGTTACTTCACACACCACTAGGTAGCTTTTAAATTTCCCCCCATGATCAATAAAATCTTATAAAAAAAGGAACATTATTTACCACTGCTCTACAGTATAATTTCCTACAATCACTGCATTCATACTAGTTGGCTTAAAGGTGAGGAAATCCCGTAGCACGCTTATTTTGAAAGTGGACACCGGAAGAGGTAGCATTTGGCTTTCCACAGATGGCTAACCTGCTACATGCTACAGCATGTAGCACAAGGAATGTTTTATAAATGTGGTGTTGCATTAAAGCTTCCAGCTTATCACCTGACGGTCTGTGACTCCTTCAACGAGACATTTAATCCAAACGTAAGTCAGTATTTATTAGACAAATGACGTACAGTGCACCATGGTGATTTGCGTCATTACAGTTGTTTACAGTGGAATATGTCACATTTTCTCTACGTCACCTCACGTTTTGTGATCCTGTGTGCTCGCTGCATCACTTTACACGGTTGTTGTTGTCAAACCAACCTGTAGCAAACTTTTATTGCAGGACAAAGGCTGTTGAGAACACCTCAAGCCAATGAAGACTAAGAAACAAAAAAAATATATCCAAATATTACTGAAATATACGTTAACGTTTAAAACTTAAAACGCCAGTTATGATATTTTCTTACTCATCGGTAATGTATCAGAAACTACAACTTCATCTGCTACTTCATACTGACACATTCACAGTTAAAGCTGCAGGGTTCATGTCCAGCTCCAGTTGACTTTAAAGTGTTGTTGCTACTGCTAACATTAAAATCTACTTCATGTCAGATGAACATGGAACATGGCAATATTCTGGAAATAATATTATTTTGTGTCCATGTCTATGTGCACATCACTTGCATGGCACATAATAAGGCCAGGTAAAACAATGAGGACTTTGATTCGAATTTATAACATGCATTTACAGTTTTTTGTCTTGTGAACCACCACAAACAACCTTGCTGTCACAAAATATCCAACATCCTTTGATAGACACATTGACATTAGCAGCTTTCTAACATATTGTTTGCCATTCAGTGACATTATTTGCACCATGGCGGAGCATTTCCACCTGAACACACCGCTGCTGGAGAGTGTCAACATGTCCAGACGGGCGGGAACCACCGTGTATTTAAAGATGGAGAATTCACAGCCCTCTGGCTCCTTCAAGATCCGAGGCATTGGACACCTCTGCCAGCAGGTAGGCCTTTTTCCTACAGGTCCGTCATATCAGACAATCACTGATTCATGTGTTAATTAAAGGCCAATATTGACGGACTGTTGTAGATTTCAGTTGATTATACAAAGGTTGTTGGGGAAGGAGAGACAGTCATTTGCCCTTTGTCATTTCATTGCTCTGCTTTGCAGCTCGCCAGACAGTCTAAAGGAGTTGTCTGCTCTTCAGGTGACGTCTCTACTGTTACACAGCATGTTGACACATAATGCACAATACAATAAAAGCAATAAGACTAATAGTTTTACTCTAATATAATAACATAGTATGGCCTTTTTCTTAGGTGGTAATGCAGGTATGGCTGCAGCCTATGTAGCCAGAAAAATGGGTGTACCAGCCACCATCATAGTTCCCTCCTCTTCTCCTCAGATGGTCATTCGTAAGCTTCATGATCAGGGCGCTGCAGTCAAGATTATAGGGAAGGTACAGTATAATAACATAAAAGTAATCATATCTAAGTGATCTCTTTGTGGCACAGATGCCAGTTCAGAATCATGTTTTTCATTTTGGAATTATTTTGTTCGTAGGTTTGGGATGATGCCAACACAGAAGCTCTCAGACTGGCAGAAACTGAAGGACTCACCTACGTCCCTCCATTTGATCACCCACTGCTATGGTAGGAACATTCCTCACAATTAAAGAGTCCAGTTTCTGCAATAAAGTGTAAAACTAAACACTACATTACTTCTGCACTCTCTCCACACACACTACCAGGCAGGGCCACGCCAGTATGATCTCAGAAGTGGCAGCCTCTCTGGGTCCCAGTGTGAAGCCTGGAGCTGTGGTGGTGTCTGTGGGTGGAGGAGGTCTCCTGTGTGGAGTCATCCAGGGCTTGAAGGCTGTAGGCTGGACGGATGTACCGATTGTCGCCATGGAGACAGTGGGGGCAGACTGTTTTAACGCTGCGGTTAAGGCAGGGAGGGTGGTCACTTTGGATGACATCACCAGGTTAAAAGTTAAAAGAGTTCAAATGCTCCGTGCAGTAAAAAGATTAAATACACGCAATTTAACTTCACCCTCATCTCTGGCTCCATCTGTCTTCTCACAGTGAGGCTAAATGTCTCGGAGCAAAGACTGTTTGCAAGCAGGCCTTTGAATACAGCCGGTGCAGCGAGCTGACGATCATCTCTGAACTGGTGACTGACCAGCAGGCTCTGCATGCTGTCGAAACATTCCTCGGTTAGTTTGTGTGTTTTTTCAAATGTCTCTAATGACTTGTGAACATGTTATTTTAAGGAAAGTTGAAGAAACACTCTTCAGCTTTTTTTCATCTTCATTGCAATATGATTTTTATTTATTTATTTATTTTTTCATATTGTGCAGCCCTATTCATCACTACCCAAAAGCCTTTACAATGAACCAGGCTTCATGTTGGCTTTGCCTTTGTTTTACTTCAACTCAGTGTGTGTTTGTGTGTGTGTGGGTGTGTGTGTTGTTACTAGATGAGGAGCGTGCGTTGGTGGAGATGGCATGTGGAGCAGCACTAGCAGCTGTCTACAGTGGACTTATACGCAGATTACAGGATGAAGGTGACTACTCTCAAGTCATTGTCTTGCTGAACATTCATAACCGTGCTTCTGTTCTGTATGCACTGAAACGAATCTCATGATTACCTCCTCTTGTCACAGGTGATACTAAAAATTTCCTCTCACCTTGAATCTTACTGTACAGAGGAACTCCCTTCTGATGAGGGAAAATCTAATGTTGAGGCTCATCTTTGTTGTACCCCTTCCTCTCAGGTCGCCTGCCCGCTCTCCTAGGCCCCCTGCTGGTGATTGTGTGCGGTGGCAGCAGCGTCGACATGCAACAGCTGACCAACCTCAAAAACAAACTACGGACCTAAGCTGCTGAATGTGTGCTAGCAGGTGTGTGTGTATGGGTACATAGCAATAAATGTATTTCTATGTGATCAGGGTTACAACAGCAGAAAAGTCATTGCAGCAATTCAGAGAATGTTCCCTTGAACACTGCAGTGTCATTTCTAAGTTGCATGAAATATAAAATTGCAATTAAGGTTCACAGAAAACTGAGTCCATTTCTGCCGTTATAAATTATTAGATCACATCTTGATACGAACATGTTGAACACAAGCTCACTTGGATGTCATTGTTCAGTTACAAGGTTTCCCCACATGGTGGTGTTGTAGTTCACTGTTGAAATATACTGGCCATCCACAGAGTGTGAGTCAGATACAGAAAGCTGAACAGATATTTTTGTTGACGAGATTTAATTATTATTAATTATTATTTAATTATTGTACTTCAGCGCAGCACTGACAGTCTGAGCCACAACAAAACTTCTCTTACATTTCATATTCATTTAAAGACACTACAAATATCTGTGTGTTTTACTCTTTCCTTGATCTTTTTGTAGAAAACACTTGAAACCCTGGAGAACACAACAGCCTTTTACTGTAATACTGGTACATGTCATTTTCACCTACACATTAAATTTAGTAGCTCAGTCAAGTTGTGTTACGTGTAGGAAGCTATTACTATGGAAACAGCTCCTCACTGTTCAGCCTGTATCAGTGTAAGAGTTGAGTTTATCAATCTGTTGATGGGCTTTGCCTTGGTAGGTCTCAGAAAATGGACCAAAATGGACTCCTTCACTCTTTGCACACTTTATCACAGATTTAATTTTAAATGGATATATTTTTTGCCCATCCATCTACACCCAACAACCCCAAATGTGAAAACATGTTTTTAAAATTTTTTACACATTTAATAAAAATCAAAAATTGGTATCTCTCAATAACAAAAGTATTCAGACCCTTAATTCAAGACTTTGTAGAAGCCCCTTTGGCAGCAATAACATCTTCAAGTCTTCTTGGCCGAGTGTCTACAAGCTCTGCACACCTGAATTTGGGCAGATTCCTCCCTAACCCTAACCCAGATCCTCTCAAGCTCCATCGGACTGGATGGAAGGCGCATGTAAATCTTCAGGCCACTCCACAGATGCTTTATTGGGTTTAAGTCTAGGCTTTGTCCCCAAAGCTGCTCTAGCTTTGTCCTGGTATGCTTTGGGTCATTGTTGTGCTGAAAGGTGAACTGTCGCCCTGAGTCTCAGGTTGCATGTACTCTGGAGCAGATTTTCTTCAAGGACCTCTCTGTATCATCCTTCCCTCAATTCTGTCCAGTTCGCTTGTCCTTGCCGCCACAATTTCTCCATTAAAGTTTTAGAAACATCTCAAGGATGATTAAAGAAAAGAGGATCCACCTGACCACAATTTGGAGTGACACAGCAAAGTGTCTGAATTCTTTTGTAAATGAGACATTTCAAACAGGAATGAAAATAACTCTATAACCTTGTGGTGGTGAAGCTTGAAGTTCTTTGTGATGATGATGATGATGATGATGATGATGATGATGAAGGCTTATGCTGTAGTGCAGGCTTTGGTATGTTTACAATAGGTGTTTGGTTGCCATACCATGTAATTTACATATTTGGTACAAGATAATTAATGTAAACACCATCAGAATTCTTTTTTGTGGTGTCCCGGTGGCTCACCTGGCAGAGCGCGTACCATGGAGGCTTAGTCCTAACCGCAGTGGCCCGGGTTCAGTCTGACCTGCGGGCCTCTGCTGCATGTCATCCCCTCACTGTCATCCCCTCTCTCTCTCTTCCTGACCTTCCTGTCTCTCTCTCCCTATCGCTATCAGAATAAAGGCAAAAAATAACTTAAAAAAGAGAAATCTCTTTTGATTTTATTTGCTGTTTTCAATAGGTTGATAGTGGCTTTTATGGTCACTCAACACATAAAAGTTGGACTTCAAGTCAGGCCAGTTTGCAGTATCTTAACTGCAAATAAACTAAACTTAAATTCATTTTTCAGCCTCTGCATCACCTTTTTTTTTTTTTTGCACCATAGCATACAAAAACTATCTCACCAGTCGCTTGCAGTTGTTCTAATGTGTTTTCCCATCACTTTCAAGGTCACTATAAGATCAAAGGTCTCACATAATTCATCATAAAAAATATAAAATCTGCTCAATGCACTGATACCTTCCTCTCTTATGGATTCCAACACACAACTTTTTGACCTCATTGATTTTGTTGGTTCAATAAGTCCAGCACTTGTAGTATATACAGCGAGTGTAAGAAATATTAAGGAGCTTGAAATCTATCACCCCATATATGGTATATTCATCATGAATATATTTTCCACAAATTAGTTACACAGCCCTGAGTGTGTTATGGCCTTCGTTTGACATCTACATAGTGCTTGTTGCTAAACATCCTCAAATGCTCGGGGTGAATAAAATTAATGTAAACAAGGTGATAGAAGTCAGTTTTGAAACACCTCTAATTCTGTTGTGTGGTGAAAAACGCATGCACTGTATAGTTAGACCTGCTCCGCTGAATAACCAGTTTTCCCAGCGGCACCATAACAGCAGTAGACTGATGAAGTGGGTAACTCCCAGGAGCACAGGCGGCATTCACACTACAAGGTCACACACACACATGGACCGGACATGACTGTGTTGTAAATGCTGCTCTCTCTCTCTCATGTCGTTCTGTGACACAACAGCGTCTCAGTCCAGATATGAGAGTCGAAATGGATGCTCCGTCATCTGATCACCTGTATTGATAGGAGGTAGATGTTTACATCATGAGCGATTATCTGTGCTGTTCTTAAATGACTGAACAGTCGTCTAAAGCATTCACCTGTTCAGATGAGTCTCGCTGACCCACAGCTGTGCTCCCTCCTCTGGTGAGTGTGATTTGGGCAGCCTGCAGAGACGGAAGCTAATGGAGGTGCCAGCCATTCCTATGACAACAGGAAGGAGCTGCTTTGATGAGCCCAGCAGAGGGCATTTGAGCAGAGCTGCAGCTAAAAATAGGACAAAGTAAATAAGAATGAATGGGGGAGAGACAGAGGGAGAAACAGTGCACGTCTGTGTTTATGTGTTTGGGGATGCATGTCTATATGTACATGCATTGTTTACATGCATGTTTTACTATTTACAGCCAAAATGCTATTGCCAGCTTTTTGTACTGAGCCAATTTGTGACCAATCTGGTGTCTGTCCATTGAAATTTTGTATAGCATCTTCAACTTTAGAGAGCCAACATTTTTTGCTACTAACATTTTTGGTTATTTGCTCTTTTTCATTTGTAAATTTGCTTGATGTGCAGAAGTGGATTTGAATGTGGACTAAACTGCTAGTTAAGTGAGATTTGGCTAATGGTGTAAAGGTGTAAACATAGGTTATCTAAATTTTTAACAGGCCCAGTTAATTTTCATTAAGAAAGTTATGAAGGCATCAGTTGCATTTCAATTAATAGATGATTCTCCTGGCCTACCTTTCAGACTGAAATGATTGATATAAAGCACTCTGAGCATAAAATACAGAGAGTGAGACAAGGGATATAGAGTTTAAAGTTGTCTTAATGATTGTGTTTATCCAATAATTTATATTTATCCATTATAACGAATTTGTTGGATGATCATGATGAAAAGAAAAAGATGCCTCAGTTAATGGGAAAATTGATATGACTGTCTATCATCAACAGTACAATGTTTATAGTTAGTTTTAGAAGTCTTTACTTAACTAAGCTTATCAGTCTCACTGTTTGCAGCATGTCATGTGGACAAATATCAGACATCTTCATGTTGCACTAATAAGGAGAGGAAATTATGGAGGATACAGCCAAAAGCATAATGATTTCCTCTGCCCTCACTGAGCATTGTGCAGCTTTGATCAGCCATAGCATCTTTTTATTAGAGCGCTTTCATGTTAGGTAATGCTATTTAAACTTCATGTTGGATTGTATTACAAGTTTTTTTCAGATGTGTGTCTCATGTACATATCTCTCAGCCTCTTTCATATCTGTCTTTCCTTGCATCACAAAGGAGACAATCCCACTTTAAATGCACAACAGATACTGTAACAAACAGCTCTGTTGGACTGAAAATGAGGTTTCTAAAATTAGAAAGGGAACAGAATGAGGATGCAGAGGTAGTGTGGTACAAATGGCTCAATTGGGTAACATTTGCTCATGTTTTTGACAGGGAATCACAAGGTAGAGCACAGCAGCTGCCGTATGTATCCATGGCAACCTGATGACGGCATTGGAGTATAAATTGAATCTGAAAATGAAACTTAATGGGTTTTTATAATTCTATTGCAACAACAGGTTCTTATTAACATCCATACAATGCAGCAGCTGCATGTTTTCAGAGGCTGAAAAAAGGCACTGAAATACTTTGTACAATGGAGTGTATGTTGATATTTTGGGCCCTCAGTTGAGAGATGAACATACGAAGACAACAGTATTTTTCTGATTTACAAAGACTGCAATAGCAGGATAAGCTTAATTACATTCTGGTTAGATAGAGATGAATGAAGGTTTAATGAAGCATCAGGAAATGGGGTGACTTTAGCAACACGGAGCGATTCAAATCAGACTAGAATAAATACAGAGTACTGAGGCAATAATTAAAAGATAACTTGCAGGTTATAAGTTGTGTTTGTGATTTATCATTAATATTAAAAAGCAGGTTCAAGCAGGACAAAGGTAAAACCGCTTCCACAGTTGTCACACCAAGCTTTTTTCCCTAAGTAGGAGTGTGCAGCTTGTCGGATTGAATTTACAATAAAAAGCAAATAAAATTTAAATATATTCTCCAACTTTATGATATATTCTCCACAGCTGCTATAGAAAACACCCCACTGATCAGATATTCTCATTAGGGATGATGCCCGCTGCCTGCTATATAAATATTTAATTCCAGTTCTGTATTTAATAGCCTATCTGACCTTTAAGATCCACATTGCATAAAAGCAAAATGCCATTAGACACTTTTACAATCCCAGATTCAGTCATTTTGTGTTGTTTAGTACAATGTTGAGTACATTGTGATGATGTGTGTGTTTTTCAGCAAAGGCTGCTGTTTGGATATACAGGCTAACTGTTGACAAGTAGTTTCTGTGTTGCACTCTGCTGTATTTCGGCTACCATCAGTGTTGAAATTCATATCTGCCACTTCTGTGACGGATTTCCGCCTGTATGCCTGATGACTGTCAGCGAGGCGAGTGTAGGAAGAGGCTCTTGTTCCTTGGTTCTGCGGGGCTGACACAAACACTTGCTGTTGATTGTCAGAGTGAGTAGCAGTCGGTTCCCAGGAATCAGAGCCCTGCTGGTTTCTTTTTCCAGCCATCAGCAATCAGGGGATGATTAACAGCTAAGGCAGTGGGTGAGCCAGCAGCACTGAGTCATTTGAAGCGGAACTGAGAGCCACTGCTAAAGAGAACTGAACATTTCCCTCAAGTACACTTTTTGACCAGGTACCTGCAGGACCATAAGAAAAAGATACAACAAAATAATGTCTCCAGAAAGGCTAAACTAAGTTGCATTAAACTCAGGACAAATAACATTAATTGGGTTAAATCTTTAAGCAAAGGTCCCTGTTTTCTATAGATATCTCAAAAGTAAATTTCTGCTAAGGTACATTTTTAAACTGTAGTAAGTACATTATCATCTAACACAGCTCAATAACTTAGCTGGCCTAAATTAACTTTTTGGTTAGCTAACATTTTTACAGGTAGGCTATTAGCATCTAACACATCTTAGTTTTGCTGGCTAAACTAAAGAAACTTTCATTAGTAAGATCATGACTGAGGATTTTGTAATCAATTAATGACAAAGGAAGATGCCTTGTGTTAAGGGTATATAAGTTGATTTAGGTTACATTATTAAGGTGTGATAGAATCCAATTAGCATATTCATATGTTAGCTAATATTCTTATTTGATAATGTATAGCATTAGCATTAGCATATAAACATCTGTAGCTTAGCCTAATTAAATTAACGTTTGGGTTAGCGAAAATATATTATTAACTGAATTAGCTTCTATGCGGTCACCATTATTAAGCTGTATTACCATCTAATACAGTTTATTGTAGCTTTAGCAGAATTAAATTGTCTTTTGGTTTGGCTCTAATAAAATTAGCATCTATGATGTTAAGCTGTTTTACCATCTAAAACAGTTTAATGATGTAGCTTAGCTGAAATAATTTAACTTTGGGGTTACTAAACTAAATTACTAAACTCTATTAGCACCTAATAGAGTTTAATAATGTATTTTAACTTAATTAAATTATCTTTTGGGTTGGCTATATTACAATTAACATCTATATCAAGCTGTTTTAGCATCTAATACGGTTTAATAATCTATTTTATCTGGAATAAATCAACTTTTGGGTTGCTAAAATACATTATTAAAATGTATTAGCATCTGATATAGTTTAATAATGTATCTTAGCTGAATTAAAAATCTTTTGGGTTGCTAAACTCCATTATAAAGCTTTATCAGATGGAAATAGTGTGTGGAATATTTTGCTGAGCTCTAAAAGTGCCGTGTTCAGCCTGAGTTGCATGTTTTCTCTTCGCTGTAAATTATAGATTAGATATGTGTACAGAAGTTGTTTCAGACAGTCAGCTTCCTCCGCGGTTCCTCATGGACTGTACCACACCGTGAGCCTCCCCCTTCCCTCACCCTTGGAGTGGGCCGCTCCCCCTTCTTCACCGCCCGCGTTGGTTGAAGCCAAAACAGAACATCATGGCGATTGATGGTAAGTAGGCCAATAACGTCTCTCCTTTCCGTGTAATTAACTTCAGCTTGAAATAATACATGTCATAGGTGGATTC